GGTTTTTTGTTTTAAATAATCTAAGTAAATAGAAAGATAGTAGAGTAATTTCTATTTAGTATAGTTTATAATTTTTAAAACCCGACACAGGCTTATAATTGTGGTTGTCTGATATCTGTGAATTGCAAGTTTCATGCCTAACACAGACTTAAAATCATGATGTCTGATTTTTTTTGTGAATTGCAAGTTTCATATTTCCCTTTTTTCTCATTTTTTCCTTTTCCCTTTTTATTTCTTGTTTTGTATCTTTTATCATTTACTCTTATATCTCTGTTTTTTTTTTTACATATAAAATCTTTTTTTTTGTTTTTTTGCTTCTCTACGATAAGACATTATCAGATTGGTGGTATTCTATTGTAGGGTGGCAGTCAGACGAGCAGTTTACTTCTGTTTGAGGTAGTGCAACAGGTCGCACTTAGGTACCAATAAGGTGGCTGGGTGATGCTGAACTTAAGTATTAGGAAAATTCTCTGTAATCTATATAGTATCAAGAATTCTAATAAAGTACTAGCATGACTGCTTAAGTTAAAAAAAAAAAAATTTTAAGCTGATTCATTTCTGATACTATTAAAGTTGAAAAAAACCCTGATAGAATATATATCAATAATACTAATTAATAAAAAATTTTATATATAATAATAAAATTTATTTTATTTTTATTATTAATAGTATTTTGCCAAAATGTTTAATAATTGTTTTTAAATATTGAATTGTATTATAAATAATTTTAAACTACAATAAAAATCTTATAGTTATATCAGTAATATTTTTAAAATAAAAATATATGAACAATATTATTTTAATATCATAGTATTATAAAAAACTATATAACTATATCAGTATATCTAAAATTATTCTGGTTACTAATAAGTTGTATTTAAAATATTAATATTTTTAAGATTATATCCATATTAATATCAACTTTCAATATTCCCATGATTATACTTAAAATTTATATTTTTTATCAGATAACCAATATTTTTATGATATTATCTGATTATGCTACTGCCAATATGTCATTATAATATTTTAGATAGTATTATAGTAATTTTAAAAGCTATATCAGTATTTTTGAAATTATACCTTTAGTTTTCTAAAATATCTGTAGTTTTAGGTTCAATTTCATATTAATATCAGTGATCTGATATTCTCATAATTAAACTTAAAATTTATGTTTCCTATCAGTTTTTCGATATTTATCTGATATTATTCTGGCTATGCAACTGCCAATATGTCTTCATGTGACCTGTAAAAACTGTATAAGTATATGAATAATATAGCTTGCTTATCAAATAAATAATTATCTAATTCTTTTACATTATTTGACCTTTTGCAATATTCTTCATAATAATTTTTGTAATCATACAATAATTAATATTTAGTTGTTTTCAACCTACACATTTCACTAAACACAATCCAAACTCATTTTATAACAGGAATTTAATACTATTCATGGTATCATTGTTATTGATAAGCTGACAGTAAAAAATAATGAAGATAAGTTCTAAGGATGCATATACGTACTGTACGTACGTATGTATGTTAACTGTTAACGATTAACAAAATTTTCAAGGATAAATATAAAATTTCCGAATGGTTAATCATAGTGCTTGTAGTCAATCATTATTTATCGACTTGACTAAGTCGATATTTAAAAATCGGCTTAACTAGCTAAGTCGAGATCGATCAATCATCTGAAATTATCCGCGCTGAATTTCTTATCTGAATTTTTCGAGATATAAAATCGACTAGGCCGATGAAATCGGCTAATGCAAAATCGTTAGTTAATTATATGGTTATCAATCTATTTTTAGAACACAAAATTTTTCAAAAATCGATAATTACTAATTCGAAAATTGAACTACATACAAATAAGGACTTACGCAAAAAAATCTCAAAAGCTTCGAAAAAGTCGGCTTCCCCAGCTTCTCCAACAAAATTTTTACGCTCACGTGATATGCGACAAACTTCTTTAAGTTCGTTTAGGTTAGGGTTAGAGTCTAGATTGAGGTGGTTATAATGGTAAAATCGGTCAAGGAAAACTTTTTGTTAAGGCGCAGAAGGTGGCTTCCTATGCAGGTTTTGAGTGATGAGCGATTTTTGTCAAACGAAGGCTTGGTTTGAATTTTTCTGATCGCGTAACGTTACACTAAATCGAGATTCGTTATTGGCTTATCTTCGTCGATCATCACGTGAACGTAAAAGTACGTAGTAATTTTGTTGGCGATCCTGGGGAAGTTGTGGTGTGTCTTTGGCAATTTACGTTTCACAAATATGAACGAGCTTTTTTTAGTGCGTTAATTAGGTTGGCCTCAATCAATAATAATGGAGAATGGACTAGCGCTAGGAAAATCACTTAACTTCAGACAATGGTGTGATTGTGCGAGTTGCCGATCCTCATCAGGAAATATTAGGATCGATTGATGCTGAGGTAATATTGATTAGTATCGCTTATTGGAAATCGATTAGCGTCAAAACGATTATTATCGATTTTTCTAGTGACTTTTTACAATTACCTAACGCTATGCTCATAATGGCAAGTTTATTTAGTGATCATGTTTTCTTCTAGTACAACTGAAAAACCGATATAGTAATCCCATGCCTTGCACGGGAACAAATATTTACTAGTTCTTATCGTTATCGTTACCGTTACGGATTAATGTGTACAAAAAAATAAATCGCTAACAATAATCCGTCTATATGATTTATTTGTTGAATTTGTAATTATAACCGTAATTATTTACATGTGATTGTTTCCTGGACTTTACGCGATATCTGATACATCGAATAACAGGACTGATCCTTCACCCGGTGTGCAACATATAAAAAAATTATTAAAATTATTTCACAATACCAGATCATTCCGTTAGTACATGTTTTGATTATAATCCAACACCATTTTATTATAATAAAAATGGTGTTGGGTTATAATCATAACAATTATTGTAAAATAATGGTTTAGATGTTGCACACTGGATGACGTTCCCTCGAAGTTTTTAATTCACGATAGATCGTGAACAATCATAAAGCCTTTGCCGCGATGTATTTGAATTTACTGATTATATTTAATGCTAATATTTAATGCTAATATTTGATTCGAACAAGATTTGATGCATAACGATAATTGTATAACCATCAACGCCGGATCCAGATCTACTGGTATATCTATTCTTTAAATAGATTTGGGGTTCCGATTATTATGTATCGGAGTTTATATAACCTATGAACTAGAATTTTCAAATAAGGGTAATGAGGGTCCAATTTTTAAAATAATTTAAAATAATTGAAATAATTGGGGTTTTGGATAAAGATCAAGTTGTTAATACGTAATTTGAACCATTTTAGGACTATTCTAATATGGTCAAATTAAAAAAAACATAATATATAAAATTTAATTTGCATGCGTGCTTAAGTACGTATCGGAGCTAAACATGCAGGACAATATAGACTTGCATACGGACGTACGTACATATGTACAAATGTACGTGGCTTTTTATTTGAAATGGTGCAAGAAATAGGTAGTTAGCAAAGTAGTACTGTACGATTGTACAAATATGTACAGACGTACGAAAATTGAGCAAAATTTTGATAATACGTACGGTTAACATAGCGATTTTATAAGTCTATTATCCATTTGGCACAATGATGTGACGAATCATTGGGTGTGGCTAATAAGCATTAGTTAATATAATTATTTAGTTAGTGCTTACTCGCCACGCCAATGATTCGTCACATCCTCATGCCAAATGAAAGAGGAGGCCTAATCCTTTAATGTTTATGGTTAGGAAAGTGAGAGCATTGTTCTTTTTCGTGTGATATTATAGGAAAATTAGCTTTGCTTTGGAAGAATTTTTTCTTTTACAAATCGTACGTACTATCATGATTTCCACATGTCCGTCCCAATTTGCGTTTCCGTACCGTACTAATTTACTATATACCCGCAAGAAATTTAGAAATCACAATCCTCCCTTAATGTACTGTACGTACGTACGTACGTAGCAGTAGCACATTGAAATCCAATATTTCCTAAATAACTATGTGTACACGTAAATACCTTATTAACATCGATATTTTAATTTCAACGTGCTTTATTATACATTACACATAAAGAAGTCGTAGGTGTAGTTCCTGCAACGTACGTTGCCAAAAAAGTCTATAATATCTTTTAATCGAAAGATCTGTTTTCTTTTTTTCTTTTTTTAATAGAAATTCTCAAATTTAAAATAATTCTTAATTCTCAATAATTTGAAATCATAAATAATTTAATAGCACAAGATAAATTGTTTTACACTTATGTTGACTGACATTGGACAGGATTCTAGATCTGTAATATTTAGTTAAAGTTATGTAAATGTTAATTTAAGGTTCCCCGACGTATTGTACTGTACATATCAATATGTATGTAGGAACGTGACGAAGCTAATCGTTCCAAAAATTAGTCGATCTACGTTACACGATTAATATTATCTAAAAATTCGAGATTTTCCACGATTTGTTACGTAACTTTAATAAACTCTTTCTCTTTAATTCCACACAAAAACTGCAAAAACTGCAAAAACACCCATAATGTCGATAGTATCATATCTATTTCAATCAATATTTCATCCATCCGAAATTAGTGCTCTTATCCAATTTAAATTTTTCAAGCCTAAACCTATACTTGAAATTAAACCAGAAAACAAGAATAAGATACGTTGTTATGAGTTTCTGGATAAAACTTCTCGTTCTTTTGCTGCTGTAATTAAAGAGCTGGATGATGATGTGAGGGATGCTGTATGAATCATTTAATTTAATTTTAATTTTAATTTTAATTTAATTTAATTTAATCTAATTTAAATTTAATTTAATTTAAATTTAATTTAATTTAATTTAATTTAGATTTGTATTTTTTATCTCGTCCTTCGTGGTCTTGATACCATCGAAGACGACATGACAATCCCTATTGAAAAGAAAGAACCTCTACTAAGGTCATTTCATGAAACTATTTTTCAAAAAGGATGGACTTTTACGGAAAGTTAGTTTCGATTATTTTTATTTTTTTTTTGAATTTAAAATTATTCCATTACTTTATGATTTTTTTTGATGTTTCAGGTGGTCCCCTTGAAAAAGATCGTCAATTACTCGTAGAATTTAATGTTGTGATTGATGAATTTTTGTCTCTTAGTAAGGAGTATGTGATTTTTTCTTTTTTTATTTCAGTGTTACGTAAAATCATATGATAATGTTTTCCTTCGTGTAACTAGGTTTCGTGATATCATCGCTGATATAGCTAATAAGATGGGAAATGGTATGGCTGACTATGCAAAAGATGCTGCACATAATTTATATGGGGTTAAGACCCTTAAAGATTTTGACTTATATTGTTATTATGTTGCCGGTTTGGTTGGTGTTGGCCTTACCCATTTATTTGCTGAAAGTGGTTTGGAAAGTTCCGATCTCATAAACGATACTGATTTGTGAGTTTTGTATTTATTTTATATTCATTCATTCATTTATTTATTATTTATTTATTATTTATTTACTTATTTACTTTTATTTTAACCATTTTATGGTTTATAGGTCAATTCAGATGGGTTTGTTTTTACAAAAAACGAACATAATTCGTGATTATTTGGAAGATCTTCTTGATGGACGTAAATTTTGGCCAAAAGAAATTTGGTCAATTTATGTTAAAGATTTTTCTGATCTTAAAGAACCTGGTTATGAAACTAAGGCTCTTAACTGTCTTTCATCCATCATTCTTAATGCTCTTAATCATGCTCCTGAAAGCTTAACTTATATGAATAAGCTTCAAAATAAAACTATTTTCAGTTTTTGTGCCATCCCACAAGTAATGGCAATTGCAACTTTGGCATTAATGTTTAGAAATTATGATACATTCCAAAAAGTTGTTAAAATTAGAAGAGGAGAATCTATTAAGGTAACTTGCTGAAAAAAAACAACCTTTTTTTATTAGATCAGTTGAATATTAACATTAACATTATTATTATTATTATTATTATTTTGAACATAGTTATTACTAAAGTGTACTAGTATTCATGAGGTTGCAAATATCTTTCGTGAGTATACTAGAGTAATCATCAGTAAAAATGATCCTAAAGACCCTAATTTTATGAAGATTAGTGTTGCTTGCGGGAAGGTAATAAATATCTTTAATAATAAATATCTTAAAAAATATATATATATATTTCTTAATATTAACTATTTTCAATTTTAATTATAAAAAGATTGAACAATGGTGTACTGTCAATCTACCATCTACGAAAGTTTATAATAAACCTCTTAAAAAAGATTGGTTTAGTCAAGAAAATGAGTTATTATTATTTATTGGATTTAGTTTATTGGCATTCACGGCTTATCTATTATGTTTTTATAATTGGGAACATTTTCGTTATGATGGATTCGAAATATTAAAAGATCAAATTTAATATAAAGGTTACCTACTTCATATTAATTGATTAATAACAATTTTATACTAAATTTGTTTCATGTCAATTGATTAATAACAATTTTATACTAAATTTGTTTCATATTAAATCTATTTTTATGCTTAATATTTTAAATATTTAGTATTATTTGAAAATTGAAAAGGGGGATGTGTATAAATATTTATAACAGTACATGATTTTTACTTGTATTAACATTAGACATTAGTTTTCACATGATTTTATTGTAATTTAAGATATTATAAGACTATGATTCTAATAATGTATTTATATTACCAAGCTCATTTAAAATTTTGTTTTTTAAAAAAAAAATTATGATTAAAAATTATGTGATTTTATTCTTTTATTTTTATATATTTGATAATGTTTATTTGGTTTCATTTGATCTCCAAGTTCCACTTTTTCCTCCTGTTTTTTCTAAAAGTTTTATATTCTCAATTACCATATTTTTACTTACAGATTTACACATATCAAACACTGTTAATGCTGCGATACTAACTGCAGTTAATGCCTCCATTTCTACACCTGTCCTACCCTCACATTCTACTTTTGCCACAATTTCAATTGAATAATCTTGTTCTAACTTCAAATCAACTGATACATGTGAAAGTAATAAGTTATGACATAAAGGAATTAGATATCCTGTTTGTTTGGCAGCATTAATTCCTGCAATCTGTGAAACTGTTAATACGTCGCCTTTTTTCATAAGATTTGCTTGTATCAAATCAAATGCTTCACGACCAACTCGTATTTTTCCACTCGCTGTCGCGGTACGAATGGTTGGGCTCTTAATAGATACGTTTACCATCGATGCACGTCCACTTGAAGGATCAACATGAGAGAGTGTAGGGGTATCGGAATTTGTTGTATTTTGTGACATGTTTGAACATTCGGATTTTTTACTTTTTGATGAGAAAGCTCGGGTTTGAATGAAAGTTTTGTCAAGTTGGTAAAGACAATGTGGGCTGAATATTGTGGGCTGAATGGACGACATTATGGTTTGCTTCTTTTTATTCCAAGATATCTTTGCAGCAAGTAACTGTTCGATATTGTCTGTATATTTGATCGAATAATAAAAATATGGTAAGAATCTACTTATTTCGACTCATTAACGTTAATTATTCGCTTAGTATATATAAGCATTTAATAATGTATGCTTCTGAGTTATAAATTAAATTAATCAAATATCTATTCTAGCTTTCTTTTTTCTTTTTTTTTTAGGAACTCTCATATTTGGTACTAAAATATTTCGGAATACATTACATTACATATAAAATACATGACATCACTAACCTGCATCCAGTCAATTACATGATTTCTCATCCACCAATGAGTATCATCGGTCTATTTTTTGTCTCAGCCAAGGTGAACATACCTGCGTGTTGCTTCTTTTTATTTTTTACAGCTGCACCAATAATTTCTAGTAATTGATGATCGGGTACATTCTCTCGTAATAAATCGCGCAAGCTTACTTCTGCATTTCCAAATAGACACACCTATAAAAGACAACGTCATTCATTAATTTTAAATATAACAATAAAATAAAATAAAATGAAATAAATCAAACCTTCAAGTTGCCATCAGCAGTAATTCTTAATCTGTTACAAGTACCGCAGAAATGGTTCGTCATTGACGTAATAAAACCGAATTGACCAACATATCCTGGTACTTGATATGCCTATCATTGTTAAAATAATTAAAAATATGTTTACTTTTCTAATTATACAATCATATTATTTGATAACTAACCTTTGAAGTATCATGCGCATCATCGGGTAGTTTCATAACATCGTACTTGCTTTGAATATTATCTAAAAGTTCGCTATATGGAACAAATTTTGGTTTATTCCATTTGTTACCTTATTATTATCAGAAAGAAATGTCAAAAATTTTTTCAATCTTATCAACACTTTATAAATTGAAAAATCAATACATACCATCAAATGGCATATACTCAATGAACCTTATATCTACAAACTTTGTACGTGTCATTTCAATAAAGTCTATTACTTCTTGATCATTTACCCCTCGTACAACCACACAATTAATTTTAAGAGGACGAAGACCAAGTGTAATGGCTTGGTCAATTGACTCTATTACACGTTCAAGTCCTATATTCATTTAAAAAATACCAAAAAATACAATATTTATATATAGGATATTAAAACATAACACCTTAAAATATAATTACATAAATTAATGAATAATAATTACCTTTT